TTTATGTAAATTTTATTGATCAATATAATTTTTTTTAATTTTATTTAACTGATGACATCACTAATTTTAATGTTGGTTGTCGTTTGTCGGTTATTATTTTTCTTTATTTTTTAATAATAATAATAATATTTTTGTAACATGTTATATGCCTTTATGACACGTTTATCTTTGTCTCTGTGACATTTTTCTATGCCTTTTGGCAGCTTACGTTTTTACTGTTGTTTACGTTTTTTGTCGTTGTTTTTGTTTATCTTTTTTTTTTCAGGATTAAATTTAACATCGCCATAACTGATCAAGATGACGCTTATTTGTCATCATGATGATCTTCCCTGATTTGAACCATCAGATTGATTTGGATACGCGTTTTGCATTTGTGGATAGTTTTCTCACGTCGCTTGACTTTGATTTGCATTTTTCGATGATCTTCAGTAACTCATCCTTTTGTGATTCGTTTACCGATGCAGTCATATTTTATTTATCTTTCTTTTTTATTCGAGTTTTTTGTTAAGTTTTTTAACTTTGTCCTTCTTTGCTTTATGTGACCTGGGTGGTTAATTTTGTTTCAATGGTAATAGAAAAATATCATAATTATATTTTAAGTTTACGCTTATAATCTTCATTTAATTATAAATATTTCTATTTTTAATAAAACTAACAATTTATGTCAAAAAAATAAGTGGTCTAGTCTCGGATACCTTTCATCTCTCTTTTCTTTCTGATTTAGATCGAATTTATTCTGCTATCATAACTAACGTCTCTTTGTTAAAATTAGAAAAGATAAATTGCCACCAACATACTTGTAAAATAATAATTTTAACAATTTTACCAATACTACATAGAGGAGGATCAAAATTACAAATCATAAATATGAAAGTTACAAATAAATAAAAAAGATCGCAACAATTTTTAGTTGATATGTTGAATGGAAATTTGATTTTTTTTTCGAGACCAAATTTATTCTGAAAACCAATAATAGATCTATTAAATCGAATTGATGGTTTTCTTCCAAAAAAAAACGAAACCGTTGTGTTTAAGTTAATGATGAGTTTTCCATGAATTCCGGCATCCATTATGCGGTGACCAACTAAAACTATAGTTATATTAGGAGCAGCCTCGGGGTACTTGGTCACAGCCGCCTTAAACCTCTTCCAATCACGGAGGACGGCCGTCAAATCCCTGACCTTAGCATCTATATGGCGGCAAACAATTCGCATGGACCGTCATTACGACACCGACATCTCGACTGTCTTCACAAAAACCACTGAAAAGCCTCGTCTCCAAGAACCTTACTCGGAGATCCAACTCGGTGACGACGCTGTGTCGCAGCAGGTCTAACAACACATCCTGCTCCTTTTTCGTAGTGGAATTGTCCTTGAGTGAATACCATTTATCAAAGAGAGTGATCGTCTTGTTGTTGATCTTATGTGGTAGAAACCGGTGTTGATCAAATTATGGTCGGGCCGTGGATCGCCGTAGAACATATCGATACTAATTTGAAGATCTTCGGTTCCATTTAGACCTCGTTTCGTAAATGGATTCCGTAGCCACATCACATCTGTGTCCTGATCAGGAACAAAACTATTAATGTTTAACTAATTTTTATCACATAAGATTTTCGTTTTGTAACAAAAAAAAAAAGCTATAAGACTATCGACAACTAATTAGCTTATTGGGATGAGATATTATTTTCTTTAAGAAAAGCGAAAGGTTTGAATATTGGTATTATAAATGGAGGAAAACTGGGTTAGTCTGCCAGCTAATCAATTAATTTTTATATGTTATAGGAAAAAAATAAATATAATCAACGTTTGATAATTAAGAATCAAATTGAATGAATTATTGAAGAGGGTGAATTCAAGAACGCATACCGTAAAAACGAAACTGTATCCACGCTTCAAGACATCCAGAAGGAAAAGCGTTCTTCTCCACATCATCTTGATAAATCTGGCGACATGAAAACCTTCTCCTCCCCGAAATCCACACCGTCCGTCACAGTGCAACCGCTTGAACAAAACCCGTTCGTGAGCCGCTGATCCACGGTGACGAGGAGCAGATGATCGAGCAATGGCCTCGTACCTTCTCCAAGCCAAAAGCTCTCCAAGAAGATGTCCAGCATGGTCGTCTCGGCTTCGACACTTTGCTCCACATAAGCTCCGTTGACGACGGTGATGATCACTGTCTTGTTCGGCATCGAAGCTTCCTCTAATGCCAAATCCAGCTCGTCTTTTACAGGGAGCTCTACGGTAGTCTGTAAGCGGAAATAAGAAACGAGTTTTAAGAATATATATATATATATAGAAGACAATATTAATGGAGTATATACTTACAAAGTATTGGGTGAAGTGCTGGTTTCATTGAAGGGGAGTAAAGGGTTTGAAGGAGACCAAACACAAATGTAGAGAAAACCAGTAAAAGGAGAAAAAATATGGCAGAAGTTCCCGGAGATAAATTTTGGATATTCCATTTGATGATTGTGAATTTGAAGTTTCTTTGGATGAAATAAAGAACAAAAATCTTGTGTCCATTCCATGCAATGCATCTATATACTATATATGTTTACGTCCGTGTTTGGTTAATCCAGAAAAGGGAATAACCTGGATAAAAAAGCATTTTAACGTTGAAATCTGCCTCTTGTCTCATATTACAACCCTGAATTTCCATGAGTCATTTACTTGTCGTATACAAACGATCTCCTTCATCGAAGATGGTCCGACGGTGTTCTCAAATTTTTAATCTGATTACAATTTAGGTCATTGTAAGTTTAAATATTAGACAAATTAGGAGTTGTATTGTGATTTGAGTTTTTTATTATAAATTTAATGTGAATACAAGGTAGTATATGTACAAAAACTTTCAACTATTAGACAATGAACGCTCATACTTTTACATATGCAGTTGCAGATGGCATGGCTAAGCTCGCATGGAATCTGTCTTTTGAATTTCGTTCTTTCCGGGACCTCCTCCTGAGTTTGAAGACCTTCTCCACAATAGCACCCATGGTTCACCAATAGTTGCATGGCTAGCCTCGCAGGAATCTGTCTTTTGAATTTCGTTCTTTCCGGGACCCTCCTCTGAGTTTGAAGACCTTCTCACAATAGCACCCATGGTTCACCAATAGTTGTATGGCTAGCCGGCACTAGACTTGCTAATCCTTTAATTCCCAAAAAGGGGGGGGGGGAACCCATTTCTTAAAATGAATTAATTAATTGGAAAAAAGTTTAAAACTATTATGGGTAAAGCACATAAATGGTCTCCGACCCTAGAGTATTGTTGACTGAATGATCCGACTATTAAAATACATAAATGATCACCAACTATAGAGTGCTTCTTTATTGAGTCTCCAACTATTAAAAATCATAAAATGATTTACCGACTATTAGGTGTTGCTTTATTGAGTCTCTCGACTATTAAAAGTAACAAAATAGTCACCCCCACTATTCATGTGTTCATAACTCGTCGTTTTCGTTAAAAATATGATGGTCACCTGAGTTGGACGTTAACGTATTTACCAAAATATGATAAAACCTGATCCTAGAACCGTTTGAATTGTATAGTCGTTTGAGATTCTATGATTAGATTTTATCATATCTCAGTTAGTAATTTAACGTCCAGCTCAGACGACCATAAATTTTTTAACGAAAAATTTTTTAACGTATGAAAAGTGATTATTTTGTAACTTTTAATAGTCGAAAGACTCAACAAAGTAGGACAATATAGTCAGAATATTATTTTGCAACTTTTAATAGGCTAAGGACTCAACAAAATAAGATTCTATAGTCGAGGGACCATTTGTGTACTTTATTTTTCTCAATAATGATGTTAATTAGATAAATATATTTTTCTTTAATTAATATCGATTTCGAAATTGTTGTATCGCTCAAATTTTATGTGTTCCTAAAGAGAAAGAGATAAGGAGGGATATGTTTTGACCTTTTGAGTTATTGTTCAAATAATGTCTATAAGCCATAATTACATCGAGGTGATTTTATGCTTGCTTTCGATTAAAGCCCTTGGAATTTCTTATATCCTTGAAGTAGAATTATGGGTGTTCAAGGAGGACTCCGATCTGTCATAATGAAAACATAATTCACCTCCGATTTCAATATAATATAATCCCTCTCGGATGATGGTGAAAATGGATGTTTCAATGGGACAAAACACAAACGTGCGAGGGATTTGTCCGTTCCAACCGACAAGTAATAAGTGCTTTCAAGGTTTTAACCATGGTCCCGAATTTAGAGGAAAATGGTGACAAATTGTTTTCAATAATCAATATGCAGCTGTTTCATTCATGTCTACATTCATTTCATTTACCAAACACTGATGAATCCGTGTTTTACCTGCCCTAGTACTTCTTTCCATTCACCTGTTCCCCTTGGTGTAATTGCAGTGATTAGTCCTTCATAACATGCAAAAATTCCAATATTTGATCTAATCAGTCTGAATGTTGTTAAAACGGTATCATATTTTTTAACATTAAGCACTTGCTAATAGCATGAAAGTAAACAAATTAATTTAAAACGATAAAATAAAAAAAATCAATATAGTTAGAAGGACTAAAACCAATATTAGACTATTTTTTCGTATATAGTTTCGTTCATTTGCTTGGGAAGAACTGAATACCGGAAGGTGGATTAAAAGATGGATCTTCAGCTCATTCAGTAGCTCGACGGAAACATAAAACCAAGGTGATTAAAATATGGATCTCTTCTAGATCATTGTAGTAATTGAATTTAAATTAATCGAACAATAAATTGAATTTAAGATAATCTAACAATAGATTAAACATGAATGCCTCAAAATTCCCAGAAAATTATAGAAATCGCTTGAACATTTCTCATTTCTCATTAATAAAGAACTGCACAATCCAATTCCTCCTCTCTCTCCTTACAAACATCTACGCCTCCCAACCACCAAACCCAGAAGAAGAAAAAGGAGGAATAATTAACAATTAAAAAAAACGAAAACCCAGAATCCCATCGAAGTTTTTTCTTCTTTATGATCATCTCTTTTTCGTTTTTTTTCCTGTCTATCCACCCAAAATTGATTATTATACCACATCACTCGCTCTACAACAAAGCAATCATTACGACACCGTTACGATCCCCGTCCGTACAGTTTTGTTGGGCGTGGAGCTCTTGGAATCTGATTTCCTTAGAGATCTACCGGATTTCAACTTCTTCTCCCTCGATTCATCGAGCTCCATCTGTTCCTGCCTGCACTCTTTGCTGCAAAACGGTGTGTTCCCTCTGCAAAAAAAAAAAAAAAAACCAACGATACCCATCAGCAAAAAGAAGCAATATCTTCCATGATTTGAACACGAGAAATCAAAAAAGTTGAGATCGGAAGTGCTACATGAACAAACAACTGACCTGTACATGAAGATATCGGAATTGTGAAGCGATTTCCCGCAAGCGGAACAGGAATCGAGGTAATGTGCCTCGTAGTTATCTGAGCAACCGGGGTAGTAATAAGCCGACATGATTTGCTTATGGAAAAAAGCAGAAGAGGATTGGAGAGGATGATGGCCTTAAGGGAGAGTGTTTGTGTTGAGTGGGGAGAGCGCAGGTTAAAAGCTTCGAAGGTATTTATAAGGCAAATGGTGCTTACAAATTAGAGCTTTAAGATTAGAGCTTTAGTAAAAAACAAAGGTAAATTACACTGTTCTTCACTAAACTTTACTCCATCTCATATTTTACTCACCATACTTTTAATTTTTTTTATTTTGCTAATTAGACTTTACAGATTGAATCATTTTGCTCATTATGTCGTTAACTTTTTAACAGTGTTATGACATGGAACATAAATTAAAATGATGTAGCTTTGAAAAATTCAAATATACTATAAAATGACGTCGCTTTTTGTGAGTAAAATACGAGAGATAGTAAAGTTCAATGTCTCATGGTATAATTTACCCTTTTTATTATCTTCTTCATTTTTTCTCTGTCGACCACCACTTTATTTTTATTTTGGTCACCGTCGACCATTGTATATGATCTCAAATTTCACGAGTCAGTTTGTCTGACCCCATGAGTTCGAATTTGGTGATTGTTTCACCGGAAAATGTCCCAAAACTAGTGAATTTGTATTGAAACGTTTCAGTTTCCTCACTTTCAATCTCAAACTCGTGGACTTCAGAAAAAGTTCTGACAAAATGGAGGTCAGATTCGAACTCAAGGTGTCGAGGTGAAACGACCTATTCCATTTTGAGACCAAACAACCATTATCTACGGCCGTCGACGGTGGCTGACGGTGACATTCGACCACATTCTATTTTTATTTTATTTTTAATTATTTTATATTAAATAATAATAAAAATATGTAATGTAATCAAATGTTAGAGAGAAAACAACAGAGTGAGTAAAATGATTCAATCTGTAAAGTTTAGTGATCAAAATAGAAAACTTGAAAGTAAAATGAACAAAATAAGAGAGAGAGTATAGTTTAGTGAGGACTGCTGTAGTTCATCCAAGAAAAAGGAAAAGGCTTTCACTTGTTGCAATCAAGTGTAGCACGGTCTATTGTAAACACTAAAGACTAGTAGGTAAAATATTGTACAAGTCCTTGTACTATCTAACAAGTCATATTTTGATCGGTACATATTTTTCTTAATAATAATATCCATTATTTTTATTGAATAAAAAGGATATATAACAAAATTACAAGAATAGTCTATAAAACTAGAGTATATTAAATCACGTTAGCATATTTCTTTCCTTAAAACTTTCCAGGGGCACATATAAGTCATTAAAGAATAAAATAACTCAAAAATGTTAAAAATTTAATTAAATAAAACTATTGACGATTAAAGTTAAACATCATCAATACAAATATAAAAATACACATAACAAATTGACATTGAGTCACATTAACATCATTTGTTTATCTCAACTTAAGCACGAGCTAACTTTGGTGATTATTTGAATAAAAGAAAATCGACCCAATGGTTCAAATAAAAAATAAATCAATAAGATATCTAAATAAATGACAATTGCAGTGACGACACCAAATTCAACCTAGATAAAACTAGAAGACGTGTTACAAGAGCAAACAAATAACCCGAGATCAAATATAAATATGTATTCTAATACATAAATTTGACTTTAGAGTTCAGTTCGATATTTACGTTTTTTTGTCCTAAGTACTGGACTTGATACCAAGATTTAACTTTGGACAAGTAAGTTAAAGTAGTAAATTAAATTTTGAAGGCAAATGTAAATACTATAATATATATTTACCCTACTTCAAACTAATTTTGTATCATTTAATCAATTATACCTCGTTAAATTCATGATTCTTCTAATACAAGATCAAAATAAAAAAGTTGGCTATAATACGGGGGCATGTACTGTACTTGTACCGTTCCAATCCGTAAATGACAGGTGTCCGACTCCCATTGGCGATGTTGCGAAAGTAAGTGGTTTTCCGATACGTGCGACGCCTGCAAATCCAAGGGCGGAATTCGAGATCAAAAGCGTTTTAAATCCTTTGGCTGATAATTGATACGCCAGATCTTCTACTTTCTCCCAAAGTTAAAATCATTTTTTTTTAATTTAAAGTCGAGCTTTTAACAAGGAATCGAATAATCCCCGAATAATTTTTTATATTTTAAAAGGCCAGTCCAATAACGTTGGGTTTCTATTGTACATGGATGAAATGTTTTTCAAATGCCGGTTATAAATTTAACAAGTGTTGCGACAGCCAAATTGTTTATTGATTAATTACGGAGTTTAGAGGTTAATTAATCAGTGATTTTCTACGTCAGCGAGAGATTCTTGGTGTATTTAATTAGTGTTTTGCGTTTCTTGTGGTTCAATGAAGTCAGCTGTGCGTTGGATCTTCGAGTCGAGTTACACTTGTTTATTGCTCTTTGCGATCTCGATGGCTACAGGGAGAACGCGTGTTGCAATCAACGAGAACGTGGCAAAATATTGTCTTTCATTGTATTATGTTGACAATTGATTTCCGAGATTCGGATTTTGATTTATTTAAAAAAAATATTATTATTTTTAAAGATTAAGATAAATATTGTTGGAAAAACAGATAAGCAACTTGAATTATATAAACGGTTGAATGTGTGCTTAATGCATTACACAAAAATATATATACATCCTCCTTACACGCTTATAAGAGTACGATGTACTTCACATCCGCTCCATTTTCATATTAGAAAAAAACTTTCATTAAAATTTGAATTTAATTTTGAATAGTTTTTTTTTATGGAAAATTACGCATATAAAACAAGGGGAAAATTTTGGGGGAGGTCCCTGAATTCCACACAAGTCTAGGGACCTCTTGTGGTTTTTGGCTCGTTTTATTTGTGTTTTTAATACCACAATTTTCCCCAAACTGAGATTGAGACCAAGAAAACAAAAAACACTCGGAGCTGAGTAGACGTAGGACCCACTCAGTGGAACACGACCCAACAAAAAACCATAGAAGAACCGGGGCCCACCTGACTCATCACCCCGCTGGCTTTATTTTGCAATGGGGTCCTTGTCCACTGATGCTGCCCGTAAAACCCGGGTAGACGGGCAGCTACATCCAAATTCCGAACGTAATTTACAACCTTTTTCATTTACCCACGGGTACGTGCGGCCCGATGGGATCGCCCAGCTATACGGGAAACGATACCGAGTTATCGGAGGGGATGCGAATTTGTTCAAATCACTGAGTTGGATGGCTGTGGTGTGGGTCGAATTCGACCGCTATAGGGGGAATCAATTATTGAGCTGTGGACAGCTAGCACGTGCTTATCCCCTATTGTTGGAACTCGGCCGTGTTAAGTTATCATTACAATATTCAATAATATTAACTATAAATATAAATAGTTTTTTAATAAAATTTATTTTTAAGGTGGTGTTTGTTTTTACATAGGTAAAAAGTCTGTAGTCTGCGGATCACATCTGCAGCAGTAGAGGTGGATTAAAAGTTTACAACCTGCAAGGAGAATACTGTTTGTTTTTAACGTTTGCAGACTGCTAAAATGAACTGAAATATAAATAAACTGATTTTTTAAACTTAAAAGAGTTTTACAATACTGAGATTTAAATAATTTTAGTTTTACAATACTGAAATTTAAATAATCCATACAACTACAATAATAAATTATTTAAAATAAATTAATTCATATTTTAAAATAAATCAATATATACTAATAAATTATTTAAAATAAATCAATCTATACAACTACAATAATAAATCAATTCATATTTTAAAATAAATCAATCTATACAACTACAATAATAAATCAATTCATATTTTAAAATAAATCAATCCATACTAATAAATTATTTAAAATAAATTATTTTAAAATAAATCAATCCATACTAATAAATTATTTAAAATAAATTATTTTAAAATAAATCAATCCATATTTTATAATAATTTATTTTATAATAAATTATTTTAAAATAAATAGCCTTATTAAATTATTTAAAATTATTTTAATAAATAACCATATTTTATAATTGTTCTTGAAGAGGTTTGAAGACTTTTGAAGACATAAAACCATGTCTGCACCAAGAAGAGCTCGCGTAGACGTTAGAAAAACTTATGTTTTCTAAAAAACAAACGGTCTGCGAAACCTAATATCTGCACGACGCTGACCTAAGAGGTTTGATTAATAATACTCCAACTATTGAGTAATAATGTTAATAAAATGCGAATTTTATTATTTACAAAGGACAAATATCCTTATAAATGTATATATTTAAAACCAATTTAACATGAAATCAATCCGTCCCCTGAATTAATTTCAAATACGTGTCCTTTTTCTATCATTTCAACTCTAATGTTGTGGATAACTATAAAGGAAAAACCACTTTGATAAATATAAATACAGTAATTGATTTGATCTAAAAAATTAAACATTCGATCTTTGAATTTTTTTAGAACATAAGTCCATGTATAGATCTAATACCAATTATAATCTTTTCCAAATTAGCGTCGTTTTAACCTTTTCTCCACTATGAACATATATCCTCTTAACCAATGTCCTAATCTAATCCTTTAAAAAAAATATTCGAATCGAAGTTGCATGAGGAAAGTTTAGACCTAACACGGTAAAAAATAATGATTTTTTTTTCATTTGCTGCAAGGTGGCTTATACTAAATCTAAAAAATTAGTAATTTTCTCACCATGTAGTCTTTTCATAAAGAGAAAATAATGTAAAAGAAACAAGCAAGCAGAGGACTTTGTTTAATCATATATCAGAAAAAAAAAAAAATACCTTTCTCCTGTGAATGTTGGAGTGACGATGATTCTTTAAAATTATGAAATATAAAAGTTTGACAAGGCAAGTACATTTTCAAGTTCTAAGTTTACATATTTTATGTTAACTTACGTGTGATCTATGGACTACAATAAGCAGCATGTCAAATACTCCACCACCTATATATATATATCAGTGCTGATATATAATTCCCTTTGCTGCTTTTATGCTACCATGCGTTATCGAGATTCGAATCTTCAATCATGGTCGACTAGCCCTACTGTATTTTGATTAAATATCAAATAAAGTTAACCAAGTAGAATCTCTTTAGATATTGGTTCAGTCTTGACCATAGAAATAAATAGAACAATATATATTCAGAATTGCATCAGCATCCATGAGATAGATCTGAAGGAAGAGCACTAACCAATGAACATAATGGCAACCGGCACTTTTAGCCTGTGAGAGCTGAGTTGAGTGCACTATGAACATCAATCCCGATTTGTGCTTCAGCTTTCTCTAACTCAGTTGTGGCTGAGCTCAGCTTCTGTGTGAACTCCACAAGCCCTTTCTGAACAAGGTTAGCATCGATTCGATCGAGTGGGGCAGCCTCGACAGCAATTACATCTGCGAATGAGTTATGCAGGCTCGACATTCATGTGACAACTCGTACATCTCTCTCATTGTTTCCATCGAAAGGGTCTCCAGGGAAGGGATGATACTATATTTTATCAAGGGTCAAAACCAGGATGAATCCTTTTTTCTTTTTATTTTTTTTGTGGGGGGGGGGTAATAAATAGTAATAAAATGGGGGTGTCAAGGTTAATTGTTAAACCACCAATTTAAAATTAAAAAATTAGGGTTCAGGGTCTAATTTCCTAAATTTGAATCATAAGCGCTGAAAATAATAGTCTTTGTGATACTTATGAGGGGTTCCATTCAATAGTGTTGACAATCTTTATTAAACTAAAAAAAAAGGTTCTTAACATAATCAGGAATATTAAGGAGCTAATATGAGAACAGATAGGCTTCCTCATACTAAATACAACCCTTCACTCTCTTTGTAATGACCCTTATCAGTGTCACGGTAATTATAATGACCCTTATAACTCCTAGCTCTAAAAGGAGCACCTGAATAGGCATGGAAAAGCAAGAAACAACAAGTACTAGAAAAATCTCCTAAGAGATGTTTCTGTGGGATAAATGGTGCTGCAGGTGCAAGCTATGTGACGTCAAATAATAAATTTCTGGAAAGTATAGTATACGTCATCAGCTAAGGCAATTTGAAGAAGCTCGTGAAATTACAGAATTAGAGAAGAAACACTAAATTGCAGAGCAACAATACAACTATAGGTTCAGAATCTATAAGCCATTTGCGTTGTAATTTTTTTCTCCTACCATATTGATGGGCGGTTCAGGTAATACTGACCCGATGAAAAGAATTAGAGATACACTGAACGGTATCATCATCAATAATATTTACTATACTTGTTTCATAAGGCAAATATTCGAAATTGGAACTGTGGAACAATTAGAGACCTATTATCACCATTACAAAATACAAACTGAACTTACTAATATAATTTCAGATAAAAAAAGGTTGACCTTGCCACCATTTTCTATTACCAACCATACTTAACCACCAGCATTGAAAACAAAAGGAAAATCTCTTAAATAGAAATAAAAAACGAGAAAAGAAAAAGGAAAATCCAAATGTTACCTCTTTGGTGGCCAACTAAGAAGCATAAGGGAGAACGAAATTGACGGTGAGCTTGGAGGGAATGGAGGAAGGGGTAGGGGGTCGAGGCTGCATGAAAGAGAGAGAAGTTTTGGGAGGATCCATGGTGGGCATCACTTTGTTCCACGCTTCCAATAGCCCCATTGCTCGACGCAACATTCTCGGAACGGTTTCGGGGTGGTTCGCTCGGCTCTCGCAAGGTCGGATACGGAGCATGTGGGGTTCTTTGACTCACTTTTCCCTCCCTCACTCTTTGAAAAATGGTGTTTGGGAACTGAAAAATGGAGAGGAGATTGCCAAAATGGGCTTAAAATAGGCAACCCACCGATGGCTCTTTGTAACTCGGTCCACTAATAGCCCGTAAGCAGAAAACAGAAATTTACGAACGAAAGCCTATATATATATAAAGGGCGGCTGCTTTCCCCAAGTTAGGCCAAATGCTCAATCAATTTGAGACAAAATTTAAGGTCCTCTAAGTGCCTCCTCAATTTAAGGACTTCTATGGGCTGCAAGAGTTGTCCTTAATTGTGTAAGGTCTGGTCCTTAGTGGACCATTTTGGCACACAAAAGTCTTTGTTTGAGCAGCAGTTTTGAAAAGGTTCAGTCCATCGAGAACTTTCAAAGGTTTCGTCTTTATTCACTCAGGGCATCAAATGTTTAGTCACAAATTGGCCATATGGCTTTTATGTGATATACTTTCTTTGGACTTATATTGTAGTTTGGTTAACATTCGTATGATACAATGCGGTTACCTTGTTTCTGTTTATTTGGCTTTTGCTTAAATAGTGCAAGCCTTTGTCTGGAAATATAACACTGCTCTAATTACTTTAATTATCTTTCATTGTAGAACCATGTGGTATCCATAACTTTTTTGGATTTGTGGACACTTACGTTGGAGGTTTCATTGTTGATCAGGAACATATATTGATAAGAAATGCCCATTTACTGGCACTGTTTCTATCAGAGGCCGTATCCTTGCTGGCACTTGCCATAGTGCGAAAATGGTGAGGACCATTATCGTCCGAAGGAACTACCTTCACTTCATCAAGAAATACCAAAGGCAAGATATCCTTTTTATTTTAACGTCTTCATTACCTTGCTAGATATCTTGGTATATTTTTCCCCAAAGACTATAATACACATTGATGAAAAACTCTCATGCATGTCATCTAATGTGGCGTTGCAATATTTTTCCAGATACGAAAAGCGCCACTCTAATATCCCAGCTCATATATCCCCATGCTTTCGTGTTAAAGAAGGAGATCACGTTATAATTGGGCAATGCAGGTTCATTGTTTGGTTTCATCTTATCCTTTGCATATTTATCGTCTCCATTGTGCCCCCAACCTCCCCACCGTAACCGCTACCGCCCACACGTGAAGATTGTTACTGACCTCTATACTAATTTAAAAACAAACTTTGCAGGCCGTTGTCGAAGACGTTGAGGTTCAATGTCTTGAAGATCATTCCGGCCGGGTCATCTGGTGGCGGGAAGAAGGCTTTCGCCGCCATGTGAGAGGTCAGCTTTTGAAATGGTGAAATTGCGGTGTCAGGGTGTTGAGGTGTATTCCCGATAGTGTTGGTTTTGGTTTAATTTGTGTATTTTGATGGACATAATTTCTGGGGTGGAAATCCTATTTTTACAATTTAGAGGAACTATTTATGTTCTGTTTTCTGAGTTCTTGAATGAAATGGATTGTTGTGTACCGGAGAAAGTGAAGCTTGTCCCTAATTAGTATCGCCATCTTCTCCCGTTGTTGGAAAAAGATAATCCTTGTAAATTCCAAGTGTTTAATTCGGATTCGGTCCACCACTCAAACCAAATGTATATACATGCGTAAGTGTTTAATTTGGAGGTGTAATTTTGAATTCATTGCATAGGTGTTCTCCTCTCATTTTTTTGTGTGTGGATAATTCTGATTTTATTACCCAAATCAAGGTTTAGTTACAACCAATCCACCAATCTACAATGAAAGAATGAATCTGCCTACAAAATGATTGGTTAGACTATACCCCAAGCAATACAAAGCATTAAATTAGTATTATCAAGTCTGTTAATATTAGTTCCCCTAAGACGGATTCCAACAACGCTTTAATATCTTTGAGCAAGCAATCAATTTCTATAAAATTGGTTTCTATAAAAAAAAGTTCTATTAATTTTCAAAGGTTTTGTTAATTATAATGCTTTTAAGAAAATAATTTGTTTTTAGAAGTCTTAGGAATGGAATTGATTTATTTTTTCAAGGTTGGAATTGGATATGTGACCTAAAAATTTCTTACATCTTTTAGACAACTGATTCATTTTTCAGGATCTTCAAGAACATTATTTTGTCAAAACTAATAAAGTTTAAGGATTGGTAAAGAATGTTTTAAAGTACGAAATTTCCACAGATTAATTTAAAATGGGTTAGTCTGGGGATTAGTATAGAATGTTTTGAAGTTTAGAGAATATTTTAGAATAGAAATCATAATTTGGGGACCTCTTATTGTAATTAACTTAGTGATTTTTGTAAAAATCCAAAACTCTTTTTTTTTTTTTTTTTGAGTTTTCCAACAAAACTGTAATATATGTATATATTTTCATTCATGATTACTTGATTTAAATTCCCACAGACAAAAAGATTTAAATTAATGGTTGAACAAGAATAGTCTCAATAGGAACACGTGGCTGGAAAAATGTATAAAATGACAAGAGGATATGCAAACACAAGAAGAAAGGGAAATGACCATTATAAAACGACGAAGTCTTCATAAATGTAAAGAAATGGACTGTCGTCTTTAGAGAAATTATTCCACAACCAGAAATTGGTTGGTTCCTAGGGTTGATTACAATCTTTATATTATGTTGCATAAAATCAAAGCGTGAGTGATTGAAACTCGTATCCTTTCTTGACATTTCTTTCACGGCCAACCAAATCATTATATACTAATAATCCAAACCAAATCTTATTTGGTCTTACATAGGATTCGTATTATCTTTAAAGTTGTTGTTTAATAGATAACGCAAACGGCAGACGTTTTCTCTCTTTTAATTTAAATAAAATAATATTAATTATATCGAACTTGAGAGCCGACATCCTATTAGTGTCCAATCCCCCAAGGGGCCATATAGGGAACTAACCTGAAAAGAGATCCGAAGAGTAAGAGGTGCAAATCAAAACACAGAGGGACCAAACATGAAGGATTCCAAGAGCCTGAGTGCAAAGGAAGCAAAGCAACGAGAGAATTGAGAAGGTGGCTTACATTTTCAAGCATCGGGTGGTCAAGCAATAAAAACTCGGGAGCCTTAAATGAGGATAGGTGGTATTCAGGGTTTGTTGATCCAAGAGTTTAATGTTCTCTGATGCAAGACCTGCTGCTCTTACACGACACCATTTGTACCTGTTCTTCCATTCCACCATGTCCTTGTCGCGTTTCATATTTACCTTCTTTTACAAAAAGTTAAAAAAAAACAATCTATTTGGTTAAATCTCATTAATCGAATACAAACCAATTTATCTCGGCGGTTAAAAGAACCTCTGCAATAGGGTAATTGAGAGTTCATTATCAAATTATTAAGAATATTTAGAATAAATACTACTTTGTAATTATCTTATCTTAATAAAAAATCATTAGCCGAAAGAGATGGTGGTTACTTGTTAGATCCGGCGAGGCGAGGCCAGTCCCGCTGCTGTAGGTGAACTAAAATCATCTCATTCTGTATATTGTAATCTAATAACTAAGCTAAATATTGTTAAAAACATATTAAATATCAGATGAAATAATAACTGATATAATAATAATTTTAGTTCTCACAAGAGTTTAAAACTTTTATATTTGAAATTTCTTTTTTATTCTTCTATAAATGTTTCATTACTTTCTTGTTACTTTCGTGATACAATAACAATCTAATATTACTTTGTTGTTGTTTCATGACATAATATAATTATTTTATTATTTCTTTGATCTAACATACTCGTTTGATTAGAAGATATAATAAAAAGAATTATATTAGTAGAATTTATAAATAAATGGGCTAAATTTATTAAGTTATTTTATATTAATAACAAATTGATAAAAATATATGAATTTTAGAGATTAAAATTATTATTATATTAAATCATATTATATTTTTCACTTATTATTTCAAATTTTAATGATATATTTATAATAATATTTTAATAAATAATTAAATACTCTCAACCATTTGACAGTAAACGTTCAATCACCTTGCTGCAATTGATGGTACTCAAACCTGTGACTTCTAGAAACAACAACGATTCTTTTAACCACTGAGATAAGTTGGTTCGTGCATAAAATCATATTTTTTAAAAAATTCATTCATTATCAAATATATATATATATATTAATATATGGTCTATAATCTGTCTTATTTGTGCAGCCACATAGGTGTCTACTATTCCTGCAATCTGATGCTATATCCGGCTTTAGTATATAACTTTTGTGCATCAAATTCAGTACTCCTTAATTTGGCTATCATCCGACACCAATTATTGAATAACCACATGATAAAAGAATGATAATTCAACTAAACAAACGGCTCATGAGAATGATCAGATGCTAAAATCAAATCCTCTACCCATCCCATATCTTATGCTTACAATTTCTTCTTTCTTCTAAATTTCTTAATATTATAATATCATCGAGAGTTGAGATAGATATAACATTTTATATTAAAAACGTAAATATTTATAAAATTATATTAAAATTTTAAGAATATAAAATTATAAAATATACTTAAAAAATAAAAAAAAATACTTAAGTTATATAAGAATTTAAATTTAAAAGTAAAATAGAATTATCTCTCAACATCTCTTCGATCCATCCATATGTTATATAGTGGCGGCAGACATCACATTTTTGATCAATAAGATAATTGTATATAAAAGTTTGTTGGATCGAGAAATAAAATAATTTAAATTTAAAATTTATAAAGTAGGATGTTTAGGAAACTAGACATGTATTGTTATTTGTTATATATAGTGATATTTTGAGTAAACTTCTCTTATTGATTATTATATTATGCTTTAACAAAATGATTATAATTTGAGGTAGAGTTAAAAAATTTTAAAATATAAAAAAAGAAAAGAGAGCTTATTAAAATACAAAAACTAAATGAGATAATTAATTACACATGGAATCTCAAAATCATTATCTCATTTTAAATTAATCTTTAGACTTTATAATATTTTATATTGGTCTTCAAATTATCAGTAAAATTTTATTTTAATTCTTGCATTAATTTGGCTTAACTCTATTAGTTAAAAAATAATCTATTTTTCTAAGGTCTTGAAAATTGAACCTGTAGAATAAGTAGAGTTAATAGAACGTTAACAGAATGATCAAAATGAAATGATAGTTCGAGAACTAATAAAGAATTTTTAAAAGTTTAGAGACCAATTTAAAATGGGTCATAATTTAAAATTTGATGTAGAAGATTTTAAAGTTCCAAAACTAATTTAAGACAAAATCATAATTTGGGTATATCCTATGCAATAAACTCAAATTAAATCTATAACTTGCATACGGAAGACTTACGATATTGAATTGGCCAGCTGTTGGTTCGTTGAAGCATGTTTAATTTGGTGGAGCTTCAGTTGCTTTAACTCGCTCTGCGCGGAGTCTTTAAATTCTGCGACACCCTATTTACTGCCCCTCTTCCTTTGCACTTTATTTCAATTAAATGCTGTCTCAAAATTAACCCAACAAAACCACCTTCTCCTTCTCAAACATCTCTTATTCCATAGCATATACATTTCTATGGCGTCGATGTCCTCGTCGCCGCCTCTGTTATACGGCGTACTCGGAGGACCTGTCCCCGCCGTAGAAGTTAATGGAAGTGAACGCTCGCATTCCTCGTCTTCTTCAATTGAAAGTGGGAAGTCGAGTATTATAATAATAATTTTGATCCTATCCATTACGCTGCTTGTTTCGGTTTCTCTCTGTCTTCTTTTGCGGCAATTGAACCGGCGTTGCTTGCGTCACCTATCTCGTTCGTCGACTTCTACAATCATCGCCTCTGCCTCCAGCCACCACCACCACCGTGTCAGTCCGGAGCAATCGCCGACGGCTTTGTTGCTTGATTCTCTTCCTCTTTTCACTTTCTCTTCCATTACTAGCCGCTCCAATAACAATTCGAAGACCGGAGATTGTGCTGTTTGTTTATCGAAGTTTGAACCGGAGGATCAATTGAGGCTGCTCCCTCTCTGTTGCCACGCGTTCCACTCTCATTGCATTGATACGTGGCTTAGCTCGAACCAGACTTGTCCTCTATGCCGCTCGCCTCTGTTTGCTTCCGAGTCGGATCTCATCAAGTCATTGCTTCAGTCGTCTAATGCGACTGAACCGATCGGAAGTGGCCGCAGAGATAGTTTCCAGGTCGAGATCGGCTCCGTAAGTCTCCGACGACAACCAGGATCTGAATCGGGTGAGCAAAGAAGGTCTTACTCCCTCGGCTCATTTGATTACATAATAGAGGAAGAAACAGAGGTGACCAGGAATCAAACGCATCAAAGAAACGTGTCCTATAAGGAAGAGGTCGCCGGTGCTGAGGCAGCTTCGGAAGCGAGCCTCGCCGCAGAGGTCGCTACCGGAAGGAATTGGCTAAAGGAATACCTTGATAGGCTCTCATCTTCGTTCTCGTCTCGTGCGTTATCTTTTCGTAGTTCAGGCAGGTTCTTTACGGGGAGCAGTCGCCGAAGCGATTTCGCCGGCTCAGTCGGAGATTATGACGTGGAAGCCAATCGCATCGGCGAGGAAATCAGCGAAATGTTTCGGTGGTTTTCAGGTGTATAATAGTAAAAATCTTATTCGAACTTTGACGTAGGGACATACCCGCCGTTTTCTGCTTTTCGTTTTGATTAGTTTACCTTACTCTACCTTTTGCTCATTCCACTCTTTTCCGGATCGAGAATATCGTAATTCGTATACGTCAGATAGTGAGCAAAAAGTTTAAGAAATAGAGTGGACATAGCAAAATTTCTGAGTGCAGGCGTTTTACTTTTTACCGATTTACCCGCTGTAGATAAAGAGTCTAGAATTCAAGGAAGAGACAACATTTACAAGGGTAAATTACATGATTATCACTAAACTTTACCCTCTCTCTTATTTTACTCACTTTACTTTCAATTTTTTTCAATTTGCTCACTGAACCTTAGACATTGAACATTTTTAGTCACTCGACCATTAAATTTCTAACGACGTTGTAACTTTGTTATATTAATTGAAAAAAATAAAAGTATAGTGAGTAAATAAAAGTGAGAGTAAAGTTCAATGAATAAACGTGTAATTTATCTTCTTAATTTTAAGTCTTATGTGGCATGTTTTATTATTAAATTAAGCCACACGAGCACCCAGTTACTGAGTAAACGATCGAGTGACCAAAAAAGTTCAATGTTTAAAGTTTAGTGAGAAAATTAAAAAATTAAAAGTATAGTGAGTGAAATAAAAGAGAATAAAATTCAGTGAATAAGCATGTAATTTTCCCCATGTACAATCTATTCCCGGGTAATTTTGTATGCAGCGACTAGCGAGAGCGTTAAAATTGGTTTAATGATCCAATGGCTCACATTTGACCTTTAAAATCTTACGGTAATATTTTATGTAGCCAGATCGTTACAAGTTGTTTGATCATTTTATACTTTGAATTTGATAGTGTTTATAAATAAAATAAAATAAAAACTTAGTTAATGTATGTTTCCCTTAACCTTGGTTTTGATCTGTAATTTGGTCATGATTTTTTTGTTAATAGGGCGGAGGTAGGTGGAGCGGATCTATTATCATAAAATTTTAACCATCAATTGCTCACATTAGACCTTAAAAATCTAACGGTACCAAGCAGCGGAATATTACTTTTTTGTACTAAATTATTACACTCCAAATATAGTGTGTACATAAAAGATTTGTGAATTCGGATATGTCACTATTCGCTTGAACCAATTGATATAAAGTTGTTTTAATTTAATTCGAGACTTTAAGAATGTAATAAAGTTAAATATTTGATAAAAATTTTCTTTTATATTTATGATCATACATGTAATCTTTTACATAAATTATTAGAACGGATAGATGGGTGACACATATGATTCACACCGAGCTCTCTCTCTATATATGTATATATCATTACTTATAGTTAAAAATAGAGCTCTTTCAGTCATCGACTGAACATGATTTCTATTAACCGAATTAATCAAACCAAACAAAGTTCAGTTATTTCGGTAGGTTAACCGAATTAACAACAAAAATTTATAACTTTTAAAATTAAATTAAATTAAATATAATATAAGTATTTTGTTTATTTGGGTTAAAATTTAATTAGGTGTTAATAATTTAATGAATCTAGTATGTTCAAAAAATAATCGGATCTTAATTCTTAATGAGTTTGAGATTAAAATATATATTTAATATATATAATAATTTTAATATTTAATAATTTCGGTTAATTCAGTTAATTAACCGCTTTTGAACCGAATTAACCATTAACCGAATATTAAAAAAATATTAACCATTCTCCGACATAACTAATTTGATGGTCGATCGAATTAACTGAACTAATTTGGTTCGATCGGTTAATTAGGTTAAAAACTGAAAAATGAACACCCTTAGTTAAGAAAGATAAATTATAATAATAAGCATTAATTGGATGTAAAAAGAAAGAGAGATCCATTAATTGATCGAGTTATAATGTTTACATTATCTCATATTATACTAGTTCAAATCAATACATATATCTTGAAAATATACTATCTCTAAATAACATTATAATACATTTAATATTTTCTATTTATTTAATATGCATATTTACGGTATAATTATTAATATTTGACTCGTTAATACAATTTTAATACTATTGTAATGACCTCTAAATATATAAATAATAATTATACTCTTTTTTTGTTATATTGAATATTTTTCACCCCAATTCAAACTTAATTAGATTTGCCTTATCTTAAAAAAAATTGACATGAACTTGAATTTCAAAAAAAGATACCCCACAAATATTGAATCGAGTATAGTTGAAAGTCATTAAATCAGGTATCCCAAGGTGTCCCCAGGCTTCGCTTGAGACTAATCATCCGAGGTACTATCGGGCACGAAAGGTGGGGACCTATCCCAAGAAGGTTTTCTGCATCCACAAGGGCTCAAACTTGAGACCACTTACTTAAACGACCAAAACCCCTTCCGCTCATGTCAACCTTCGTTGGTAGAAATTATAATATTTGATAGTACTAGAAACAAGGGTGTATTTATTTGCTTATTGGGTACGGGTAGATGGATCATTTAATCCAGTCAGTCACTCTCCCCATTTAGAAGTCATTGGAAAGGCCAGAAGCAATAAATTAGTAGTTAGAAGTGGTAGCCCATTAGGTTGGGAGTTTGTTTCATATTTAGCAAAGTATTATATTATCATTTTATTTAGTTTACTTTTTTAAAAAAAAATTAAAACGATACTGAATTTTATTGAAACAGAAAAAGATACAACTTAATAAAGCACTCGATCAAAGAGAGAATTTCTGAGACTAAATCCATCAAAACACTCAGAAGTGTTATATTAATCGAAACATTATTTTGAATTTAACGTCTGCATCCATGGTAACCCAATAATCATCAATAATACTCTTTTGTCTCTATTCAACTAGAGGCTTCAGAACGATGAAGGAGCGACAAGCGAATCAAAGCAAACTTACATGATGTTTCCCAAACTATATCTGAATACATCGACAAACCACCACAAAAGGAAATTTATCAATTGAAAGGTCATCGACAATCACAAATCAAATACGAGCGGCGTGAGAATCTCTACACAATCGCATGTCTACCACAGAGGTGGGTGAACAATCAATCATAAAGCATATAAAATGTGCCACAAGAGTAGAGTTAAAACGTGCCAAAAAGGAAGACGAGCATACCCAAAATACGTGAAAAAGTAAGAAATCAAGCAAAATATTTTTTTTACTAAAAATTAGAAAAACTGAATAAAAATAACAACCTGAAGTAAAATATAAAAAACAATGATAAAGGTGAACACCCATAGTCAACGATCAGTATTAAAAATGGTGTCTTATTGTCGATCAGTCAATCAAAATAAATAAAAAAGGTCTTGCTCTATTGGTGACCTAAGCAATTGAGTTTTGGACAATGAACGTGATGACCTAAGCAAAATAAGCTTGAAGACAAAAGTGTAATAAAACCAAAGGGAAGACACATAATCGATGAGGATTTAATGATGATTATTACTGCATAGGTCACATTTTGCTTTCAGCTTCTAACCATTGTTGAGTTCCTACTCTTTCATTTATTTATTTTAATTTCCATCTTCTACTTTTAAAAATATAAATAAGCTTCTTACATGGCATACGGTTACTTTTAAGGTTGTACTTGTATACATTTCGATGTTCTAAACCATCCACACACGACAATTTTCATAATATTTTTTATTCTTGTTTATACATATATAAACAATTGTTAGGTATGGCTCATAAATATACCAGTAAAGAGGATAAGAGATGGAGCGGAGTGAGCGAACATCAATTGTCCTTACAAAGAAAGTCTCGTTGTGGGGTTACGAATTATGTGGGTTGGGGGTGCGGGGGCGCAGCCCCGCGGTACGGTACATGGTTGATTTTGTAATTATGTACTAGGGTTTTCTATTATAAATATAGATGTAACCTAGACCTAAAATATCATTGAATAAAACTTCTAGCGCCGCCTAGGCACCGAGGACGTAAGCACATTGCCGAACCTCGTAAAATTCTCGTGTTCTTTTGTTTTCTTTACCCGTTTTCGTCAACAATTGGTATCAGAGCTCAGTAGCAAAATTCGAAGTCGCGAAATTCGATGGTCAGGGTAACTTCGGATTATGGCAAACGAGGGTAAAAGATCTATTGGCGCAGCAAGGGATCTTGAAGGCTTTGCGACCTACAAAGCCGGCGTCGATGGATGAGGAAGATTGGGAAGAATTGCAGCAGCGAGCGGCAGGAACCATACGATTATGCTTGGCGGACGAGGTCATGTATCACGTCATGCATCTATCGTCTTCAGACGAAATTTGGAGGAAGTTGGAAAGTCAGTTTATGTCCAAATCCTTAACGACAAAATTGTATCTGAAGCAGCGGCTGTATGGGCTGAAGATGCAGGACGATCACGATTTGGCGCAACACGTGAATGTCTTCAATCAAATCGTTTCTGATCTGGCTCGGCTTGATGTGAAAATTGAGGATGAAGACAGAGCGATGATTCTGTTGTGTTCGTTGCCTCCCTCTTACGAACACATGGTGACTACTCTTACATATGGAAAAGAGACTATCAACGTTGAGGAGATTACTGCAACCTTGTTGGCTCACAACCAGTGGAAGCAGAATGCAGGGGAAAGCTCTCAAGCCGATAGATTATATGTCAAGGGTAATCGAGATCGTGGACGGAAGCCAGAGAAGGCAGGGTCCGGGAAGCGGAATTCCAGATCCAAATCCAGGGATAAGAAGATGATTAACTGTTACAAGTGCAAGGAGGCGGGACATATAAAGCGAGACTGTCCGAAGTTGAAAAAGCAGACTGATGAGAAGCGTGATGGCTCATCCAAGTCTGTGAACGTGGTCGAGGATGATACTTCTGATTGCAGTGAGGGTGATATGCTTTCTATTTCAACGACACAATTGACGGATGCTTGGATTCTTGATTCTGGATGTTCTTATCACATCACGCCAAATAGGGAATGGTTTTCGACATACAGGCCAGTTAATTCTAGTTCGGTTTATTTGGGTGATGATCGATGTTGCAATATTGTTGGTATTGGTGATGTCAGAATTAAGATGCACGATGGCTCCGTTCGGACGTTGAGTGATGTTCGACATATCCCAGACTTGAAGAAGAATTTGATTTCCTTGGGCACTTTGCACAAGAATGGTTTTATCCCTAAGGCTGACGAGGATAGGGAAACCATTCGGATCGTTAAAGGAGCATTGACTGTGATGAAAGACAAGATGACTGCAGGGAATATCTACAGATTGTTAGGGAGTACCGTTGCAGGTGGAG